GGCCCAGGCGACGCCGGGCGCCCGCGAATCTCGGGCTGTGGTTTTCGGCCCCCACTTCCTGGTGCCCCGCGCGCCTTTGTTAGACGCCGTCGGCCACCCCTCCCAGCCCCCGCGGCGAAGGCGAGCTCACCTCTGCAGCGGGTGCGATCGGCGGCGGCGCTCGAGGGTCTCGGCGCCGAGCTGGATGCTGTGACGGCGCGGGGAACGCGATCCCGAGTGGGAGCGTGGGGAGGGACGAAGATACCCAGGTCGCGGGGCCGCTGGGCACGGCTGCCTTGGCTTGGCACGGCTCCCTCTGGCCTCGCTCGGCCGAGCTCAGGCGCACGTCCTGCCTCGACGAAGGAGTGGCGCGCTCTGCCCCGGCAGCGGCGCCGCGGAGAAATCTAAACACTTAGCGGGATTCCCCCAGCCCAGGCCCGGCCCCGCCTCTACAAGGGCCGCAGGGCGCCCATTGGCCGGCGCTGCCTCATCATTTCTGGGAAATCAGGCTGTTGTAGAGCTAGTGGCGAAGGGGAAGTACAAGGCGGCTGGTCCTCCCCACCCCCTCCGGCAGGCGCCGCCGCCCGGGGGCGACCGCGGGCCCGCCCCGCCCGCTCCCACTCCACCCCCACAGCAGCTCGCCCGCGAGATTGTCCTGGAAAGCCGAACGCCCCCGATCTGCCGTGACTCACCTCACTCCTCATTCTCCTAGCCTGCTAGTTCCTCTGGCCATCTCCTTACTTTCCTCGCCAGGAGTGGGGGCATCTGTCTCTCAGGTGAGGGGATCACCAGGCACCTGTCACTCTCTTCGGAATGGATACCTGCGTGGAATCCCTGAAATCCAGCCTTGTTTCTCAAGTCCTCTAATGAAGTGTCAGTAAGGAAGGCTTTTGTCTCACATACCGCCAGTGTCATGGGTTACCCACCCTCAGTCGTTCACCGGTGCTGGGGAAGTACAGGAAAGCCTATCCAGCCTGGGGAAGCCTGGAGAGAAGCGTCCAGGCGCAGCCTGAAGAGACTTGGGAAATGCTTCTTCAGCTACAAATTAATAGCCCTACAGTGCTGTTACAGAAGTGATGCCTGTAAAGCATCACGCCCCACTTGGGCAGCAGATGCTAGACACCTCTTTCCCTTCTTGGTCTGCATCCTTGGGATTGCCCGCCGCTGACTTTAGGGAAAGAAAGAAGGGACTCGGAGAAACCAGGACTGCTGAATTGGCTTGGATGGGGATGGCCTTGGATCACTTCCAGCACTCCTACTTTGGCCACCCTCATAGCCTCTCATGGTCTTTGGATGGGATCTCCTCCATGACAGCGTTGGTGTTGTCTTTACGTATTCAGAGAGGTCCAGAGAGATTCTGGGAAGCTTGGGGAATGTTTTTAAGGGCTGACCAATGGGTTGGGGATCCAGGTACTTAGGAAGGGCAGCTACTTAACTCTTGTGCTTGCCATAGGCCTCGCCTTAATTGTACTCCTAGAGTGGAATCCCAGTTCACCTTCCAGACAGGCTCCTGTCCTCACTTCTCCAAAGCTGCTTACTCAGAAGTCAGCCACCTTTCCAGGCCAGGTTGGTGTGACAGTCCTTTCACACCATCTGTCCCTCCACAGAAGTATTCAGTTGTAGTGATGAAGGTTTATAAGTAATAAGTTGGTGCAGCATTCAACTGTCAGTCTCTCATCTGTCTCCCTCCCACAGAGGAAATAGATGGGTTAATTCAATTCTGGTGCACCCAAATCTCATGGAAACCAACAGGAATGGGTCAGAACTAACTCCCAGATAGTATAGGACTGTAGGAAAGCCAGAGGCAGAAGGAACTGGGAGGAATGAGCCTAGCTAGGTGCTGATGCACCTTGAAGGGGGAAACAGTTGGGGTGCTCTAAGTGACAGATGGGAGTGGGAACAGAGACCTTCTGAGCAAGAAGAGCAGAAAACAGCTCTGCTCATGAGTTGTGTATTCAGTTCTCTGTGCCATAAATGGATGCGCATCCTGTCCCCAAAACCTGACATAGCAACTGGAAAATTCAGAATGAGATTAGGGAGAGGAAGTTTGCATTGTATGTGGTCTGAAAAGTTGACCAAAATGACCCTGCCAAGGCAACAGGAGGCTATGAAAACTGTGTTAAAACAAGAACTTTTGTCCAATTTACAGATAACCATCTGTATGTATCTATATTTATTTATAATGAGCATCTATCTTTCCACTATGAAATGTATACCACTTCTAATGGGTACATATTATTCTATCATAAGGATAAATAAAAATTTACCCAACTAATCCCCAATTGTAGGACATTTAGGTTATTTCCATTTTTTCATAATACACTGTGTAGCTGAATCTTTTGCACATCAATAAATTTTTGCTTAGGAAAAATTCCCCAATGTTAGGATTTACAGACGAAATTATCATTTACATCTTTGAAGGTTTCGTACACTTTTTTTTTTACTTTTAATTTTAGGGATTCTGCTTATCATGATTGGGGTTACTGTGAGTAAAATAAAGCAAAACCTTGCTTAAGTACCAAGTTGGGGAGGACTATTTTTCTGAATTCCATTCTGAGGTGTATAACACAGTCCAAGTGATGTTAAGCAGAACATATAGAGGCTCCTTTCACCTCCTTTTAGTAGTACTGGTTCTTTCTCCTTTCCAACTCAAATTACTCATCCTCTATAATTCCAGTCTTCTGATCTGGACAGATGATCTCCAAACCCAACCTCTGGCTACTTCTGGGATACTCCCACAAACCCATCCACAGATTCAAGCACAAAAGAGGATAGCCTCCCCCATTTCCGTATTGACCAGGGCAGATTTCTCTTCCAAATTCCAGCTCCCTCCCCAGTAAATCTTTTCCTTCCTTCACCCCTTTTGGCCTCACCTGGGCGTTCTGGTTCTCCCTTCTCTGCACTGAAAGGACCTCCTTAACATTCAGGTCCACCAGCAGCCTTTGGGAGTTCTTCCAAACTCTTCAGGCCCACATTCAAATTGCTGCTTAGCCTGATCCCAGACAGTCTCCGCTTGGTCCAGCCTTCTCTCCCACAGATCTCCTACCCTTGGGAGGAACTAGAGGGTATTGGAAAGAGAACACAGGATTTGAGCCTGAAAGCCTAGCTTCTTGTCATACTTTTGCCACTTGCTCAAGTGTGAACTTGGGGCAGTTGCTGTCACTCTCTGAGTCTCAGTTTTCTCATCTGTGAAACAGCTTCTCTGTCTCTCTCCTATTGTGAGGCTGAAATATGATAGACCAACAGACCCTCTTTTAAACTGCAAAACATCAGTCATGCATTAATAGTAATGCATGGACATTTTTCTGCATTTCTGTTCCCTCATATCTTTGCTCCTTCCAATGGCACCTCTTCTCTTTCCCTGGGATCTTTAACAATACCTCACTAGGTCTGAATTTCCCCCCTTCGCCTCTCTACTTCAGCAAATACCTGGGCTCCTATGAAGTAGCCTCAAAGTGGCCACCCAGAAGTTTCTTCCCTCCTTGCTCTGCCAGCCCTTAACTTTTCATTGTGTTGCTTTTCTCCACTTACAACCTTCCTATAAACAGAGTCTGCATTTTCCTGCAAGATACGTGAGTGGGTTCCTCATACCTGTAGCTGAAGATAGCTAGGGTCTAGCTCTGGAAACAGGATGCATCCCATCTGTACTGCCCCTCAGTGAGGCTAGATTCTCTGTATTAGGCTCTGAGAGGCTGGCAGAGGGGCTTGGCAGGGTTTTTGTCTTTTATTTTACATCAACAATTGTATACTGGGGCAATACCATCCCCTGTGAAAACCTCTTTCGGAAAGGAGCAGATCCTGTACCCAGCTCCCTCCCTCAGGCGCTCAGACTGCTTGGCGGCTTTAGGTTTTGAGAGGGCAGCCTGGACTCCTGGAGGAGGTGCTAGCAACTCAAAGACGAGGCCACAGTCCCCAAAGCCCACAGAGCCCTGTATGCAGTCCAGCCCTCCATGTCTAGAGGGTCAGCTCTCTGAGATTCTCAAAGCCCCTTCCAGCCGTGTATTTTTCACAAGATCCTTGGGGAGGCAGGTAGTACTAAACTGCGAAATGCCAAGTACAAGGCATAAAGTCATCTGAAAGCATCCAAAAGCTTAAACATAGTATCAGGCATCATCCCTTTACCTGAAAAGAGCCTAGTTGGAGGAAAAGAAAGTAAGTTCTTAATTCATTCAACAAATATGAATTGTACTCCTGCTTTGGGTGACATCCAGATTTGGCCCCAGGGGGATATGCTGGGGCAGGAGACTAGGCCCTCCCCTCTCACAGCTCTGGCAAAAAGGCTGTATGACACAGCAGAATAAATGTGTAGTTTAAAAAAAAAATCCCAAGTGCAGAGTGGGAGGCTGCAGCTGGCTGGGAAAGCACGAGGGGGTCTTGGATGTGAGGAATTGCTCCAGCGTTGTGGGCTGTTCCGGAACCCCGAGGGGGGAGCCGGGTGTCAGTGTAGGTTGCCGCTGATGCCCTGTGCAGTTTCATTTCTTATAAACACCGCGTTGGGAGGAAAGAGGCCTCAGCTCTCCCTTCACCCCGTGGGGCCCGGAGGAGGCGTTGGGCTCTCGGGCCAGGCTGGGCGGCCCTGACCCAAGATCAGAGCAGCACCTTCCTCCTCCTGCGCGAATGGGGTCTGCAGAACGGCCTACGCCGGCGGTTGCCTGCGCATTTGCTCGGTGCGCCCCTGTCAAGCCTCTGGACTTTACGGGGGCAGCAGCAGCATCCCTGCTTCTCCCTGGGGAATTCGTGTCCTGAGCTGGAGCCCCTCGCCTCCATGTGACCCACGCTGGCGCTGCCCCAGAGCTGGGTGTGTGTTTGAAGCGGAGGGGGCACAAGCCCTTCAGGCTGACTTCCACATTCCTGGCTGGGGGGAATCGGGGTGAGCGGCCGTGTCGGGTTGGCTGGTTTCCTGGAAAGGGAGGGAGAGCGGAGGAAAGCAAAGCCTCCCAGCCGTTCCGCCCCAGGTGGCTGCCTGGTCCGGCTCTCCCCGCTCCCGCTCCGCAGCTGGTTACTCCGCAGGTGCCAGGCGGCTCACCTGCCAGCCGCCCGAGGCACTTCCTCCTCATTCCCCCGCTGTAGGCCATGGGTTTGCACTCAGCGCTGCAGCTTCGGGCTGTGTGACCCCGGGCAAGTTGCTAAACTTCTCTGTTCCCACCACCCCCCACCTCCCCCAGGAGAGAGGAAGCTAGCAACACTCGAAGTGCAGAGCTCTTTGCAAATGGTCCCGCCCTAGCTTCTCGCTTCCGGGTGCTGGCGAGCACACAGTAGGCTCACAGAAATGGCGCCCACCTCTGGCTCGCTACAGGGGCAGGCCGCCGAGGTCCGCCGCTGGCGCGACCCCGCCATCCGCCGCAGCCAGAGGG